TTTTTTCCATTTATAATTAGTAATGAAACTTGTATTCCTAAATTTTGTCACTTCCTGTTTGGAAGTAAATTTGTAAATTGATGCATGTGAATGTGTTAAATTTCCACAGGATGAATCTGATGAAATGTTGAGCCGTGGGTTTAAGGATCAAATTTATGATGTCTACCAGTACCTTCCACCAGAGCTTCAGGTGATCTACATCTCTCTCTCTCTCTCTCTCTCTCTCTTGTACACCTTGGCACAAACATAGTACAATACATGTAGCTTGCTGTAAGTCCTGTAAAATTAATTGCTGGAAGCTGTCGTATGGCTTGGACTATAACATTACTTGCATTTTATTTGATATTTAATGTTGTGTGTGCGTGCATACATATATATCGTGTAGGAAATAAAAATTTTGTGAGAATGGTAGGAAAGATGTTAGCATGGAAATGTTAACATAAGTTAAAATGAATTAACATACATTAGCATATGGGAAAAGTACAATAAAAACCAATGGACTTTATTGTTTTGATTGATTAAGTCCCTAGACAATTTTTTGGAACAAATAAGTCATTGGACTTTTGAAAATTTGTTAAATAAATCCTTAGACTTTCTTAAACCTGTTAAATAGGTCATCATTCTTTAAAAATATAACTTGTAACCTGGTTAGCAGGTAAACCAAACAAATTAAAAAAAAAACCCTTAAAACTATCAAAAGATCGTCGCTTCCATCCTCCCCTCTCCCTCACTCAATTTTGCCGGCCTACACCATTCCTCACCACAACACCTCCGGTCACTGCTGCACCACCATCCATCGTCGCCGCACCACCAGCCGTTGTCGCACCACCACCGCGTCCGTCGCCGCCGCAGCATCCGGTTCCCGTAATTTTTGATTTCTCAGGTTCGGTTCCAACAATTTTTTGATTTCTCAGTTTGATTTCAAAAGTTTCTTCTCATTTTATCTTTTAGGGGTGCGTTTCCATTGACATAAACTCTTTGATTTCGAGTTGACCACTAACTTCTATAGGATTTTCTTCCCAATTCTTCATTCCAGCCTCATGTGATGAACCTGAAGTGTCCAAATGCAGTTCTTGTTTTTCCCTTTTGATGTCAGGTTGTCTACTTGAAACTCTACTGTTTTTGGCTTTAGTGACACGTGTATTTGAAGGTTTTGAAAGTTGATGCGATTTCACTCTAGAGTCTCTCAACATCATCAACTGGCCCAATCTTTCAACTTTTTCTTCTCTTCGATTATTCAAAGAAGAGATAAACTCTCAATGAGCAGGACATAACTTATGGCTTTAATGCAAACTTTTATCTGGTGGTGAATCATTTTTTATTTTACATATGATCATCTTTTCCATAGTATGGGAACATCATAGCTTTTTAGGAACTTTTATCTTCTTATGTGAATATGTTAACTGATATCTTAATCAACAATGTTATTTGTGTACAGTCACAGATGAGCCGAAAGGTAAAAGTGTTTGCCTTCTAATACAGTCTGTTAAATGAACTGTTAAATTTGCCTTCTTGATAGGTGTGTTACTTGTATGCCACATTATAAAAACAGGTGGAATTGATTGAGTATTGCACAAACTTTTTATTGTATCGTTCTTGTTTAAGATTAATCCCCAACCCAAGTTAAAGATAACCACCATGAATTTTGAACTCTTAGCATGCCAATATAGAAACAACCCCAATTCTTCTCTTCGATCTTCAACCTGACCATTAACTTCTGTTGAATTTTCTGCTGCATAAAGTTTTAACTGCTACTTGCACTTTCTGTTTCAATGTAGCACTTTATGACGAGCCCATGTGACTTCTCATAAATCCCTGATGTTCCAGCTGCCTTCATAAGCACATGCATGCTCATCCTGATTGTATTTTTTTCCTTTTTAATCCTTGTGGTTTTCTGTTGATACATTCATAACAACTGGGCTGAGATTTTCGGGGTTACTTTATCTGCATTGCCACTTCTTAAATGAGGTTTTTCATAGCAGGTCTTCGCCTTAGAGACATTCAGAGTATTGATCCTGCACTGTGATTGACCAACACAATGCCCTCATTGCTGGTATGGCACCAAGTCAAGTTACTGTTTATGATGTTTTAGTTCATGCTTATGAAATTCAAAAATCTTGAAGTCACTTTCTTGGCATTGATCTCCACTCCAGAATGTTCTATAGATTGTTGTATTCAATTTCAAGTGAGTCTGCTGTTAATGATGAAGACTGTGATGAAGGTGATATTACTATTGGTGATGAAGAGCATTATGAAAGGGATGATGTTTTAGACCTCAAGAAGGGTTACAAAAAAAGTCAAATGGTTGTATCTCCACCAGAAATTAATGATGTAAATGAAGAATTGTTCATCCCACGACTTTAACATAGATTAGGTGTTACTTTGGTATATTTTAGCACAACCTAAGGTATATTTTGGCACA